TTACAAGGACAAGGACTCTGCCTAAGGAGAATAGTATCCATAAATATTCTAAAATGATATATTTAAAGAAAATAAATGCTAAGGAATATATTTAAAATAGAACTTTGGAAATCAGATTGCAAAAAACATAATGATAATTTTGATCACTACCACACTCGAAATGGATATCTAGGTCAAGTTTACAAAAGCATTTTCTCTCTGTAGACTTAGGAGTTTTAGGAAATAGGTTTCTTGAGAAAAGCTGGATTATGATATGAAAACCTGGAAAGCATAAATTTCCCTAGCAGGTTTGTGCAAGCTGCATGGGCTGGGCTTGGTTAGGGGAATAGAGAAGCATGTGTGACAAATCAGATATATCCAAAATTTGCCTGCACTTCCTTGAATATTTTCAACCTTTTGGAAAAGGTATTTTGAAAATGAAATTGATAATTCCAGTACACCAACATCTTCTGTTAAAGTAGAATTATTTAAGCCCACAGTTTATGCACAGTTCCAATAGCAACAATTATAAAACAATTAGAAGAAAGTAATCGGCTGCAACAGAGTGATCTATCCCATCCATGGATTAACAATTCCCCTTCCTACTTAGATATGCAGCATTTCTAACAAATATTTTGACCCAGTTTTTGCATATTATTTATGCAATCTCTGAAGTTGAACTAAAATGCCTGTGTTTGCTGTTTAGTGAATGAGGTAGCACATCGTTTTGTTTTTGTTTTTTTTTTTTTTACATTAGTAATCAATTTATTTTTTTTAAATTAATGTCTCGTTACAGTTCTTATGAACTTTATCCTACCGCGACACCTTCACTATACCAGTATGAGCATTGTGCATGCACTTTGCATGTGCATTGATGATTTTTTATTTTTATTTTTTTCTCAGAGACAGTCCATCTTTAAAATATGCAGATTTGCTGTCTTTTTTATACTTGTGCTGGTTTCTGGTTTAAATTTCAGAGTAAGGATTCAGTAGTTTGTCATAACCAGATGCAATTAAGAGCAAAATAAGTCTAAGGCGAGCTGTCTGTGCTGGCACTGTGCACCTGCCAAGAAGTGAAAATGACAGCATTAAGTAACAGGTTTCAGAGGATGGGTGCCGATTGGTTAGTACTAGAAATTGAGGTATGGCTAGAAATATCACTAAAAAGATAGAAAGAATTGTCTTTGTCAACAATGGAGCTTATGTATACCTGGGTCTACAACGTCACACTAATTCCTAAGAGAAGCTGTGGCCCAAGACCAAAGGTTCTGCATATGCACACAAAGAAAAAAACAAGGCAGGAACTGAATGAGGAGTGGGTAATCTCCTTTCCCACAAATCCATACACAAAAATTTACAATAGTTGGCATTTTTCTATAATTAGTAATCCATGTCTTTGAGTCCTAACCCAGTTTTATTGTTGCAAAATGCCCCTTGATTTCCAAAAGGTGTTGTCATAGTAAGGATTTCAGAATTTTATGAAAAGAATTAGGTGGTCTGCTCTTTCCATAAGGAGAAAGAGTGTGTTACTTATGTGATATTATGGTTAAAATGTACCACAGGTTGAGCAACAACACATTAAGATCACATCTAGAAAGTTGTACTTTGATTTTAGTCATCTTCATGTTCAATGAGGAGTGGTTGGAAGGGGGCTAGTTTGTTTTCTTTTGCTTTTAAATGTATCAGTCAATGTTAAAGGTCCTTTTCCCACCAATACTCTGGAAGTTTTCCTATCAGATCCAGGAACAACTTGAAGCACTCCCTCAATACTGAGGGATGAGGAAAGTGTGAGCAACCTACCCTTAGCTGCATGCTGTCACTGCAGGGTCACTCACATTGATGTGTGTATAAAGACCATTTGGGAGACTTCTATCATCCCTTTGCCCTCTTATTCCTTTCTTGCCCTTCTCCATATCTGGTCCCTGGGTGTTCCTGCAAACTGCAGGACTCTGTGTTTGTGGTCCTTTCACATCAAGTGGCCATCACCTGCTTGCACAACACCCACTTGTGCTTGCACAGCACTGCTGAAGCAGTATCATCATCTGAAATCGCAGAGGAACATTAAACACCTTCTTCATCTCCCAGGCATACCAGAATACCTGCTACACACTTGTAATGTATAATTAGGTCACCTTTCAGCAGAAGTATACTCCGCTGCAGTAATGGAGAAGAGAAAGTAAAAATTTTGCCACTTCACTGTTGCTGGTGCCCGCATGCTGGACTAAGCTGACCCCTAAACTGCAATGTAAGCAACCTGTACTGGTGCCACTCTTGTACAGCAGACACATTATCACCCACTTTGTTGGATCATTCCCCACAAGATGTAGGTGCCCACTGCATGGCAAATTAAAATGTTGTGAACTTTTGCTTGGGTAGAAATTGTCATCTACAAATCATCATATCAGCTAGATTTCACTACACAGGCTGCTTATTTATATTCTGCAAGTGCATAATCCCAGAAATACAACTGAAAATGAAGTTTATCCCAAACTTGTATCTTCCTGCAATATTAAGGATGCAAGCATCAAAATTTTATCTGCTTAGACCATGCCATGATGCACACTGACTTTCATCAAATCAGTAATTCACATATAAGTATAGCTACATGTGAATTTTTACAAGGGCAACATTACTTTTTATGGCAACTTTACTTTTATTGATGCACATTTGCTCCCTTACTTTCATGCAGATTTGGGCTCCAAATCTGAGTCATTAGCTTCTATTTTCAAATAGCCTTGGCTTATAAGCACTGTATCTTAGCTCTGATTCCCCAGGTCATCTTGTGGGTACAAACTCTGCACCTCCAAAAAGGAACCAGAGGAACTTTGTCCTCCTGGAAAGCAGATCATTCTGTCTGTACTTAGATATATCACTTTCCTCCATTTCTGTGTTACTAGATTGATATATGCCATGATGAACGGCAATTTTCTTAGCTAAAACCAAACACTCTACAGTGAGGAGACTGTTTAAATACTGCAAATATGATATGTATATACTTAAACATCCCAAGTCTGCAATTCCACCTCCAGTTGAAAGGCTCTACAAGAACAATTTCAAACTGAACAAAGTTTACACTGGCATTATCTTTCTTGATTTTGGACTCATTAAAAGGTAGGACCAGCATAACTTTATGTGTAGGATGGTTATCAGAAGTAAATCACTTAAGTTTTGCCTATTGCTACAAAGCATGGATCCTTTTTATTATTTAAAGCACATGTTCAATTAGAGCTTCATTGCAGTTAGTAGCATGATGTGTAAACTGATGAAGCCCCATAAAGCAGATGGTTAAGGCTCTGGACACAAATAAAAGAAAGAACATGTTACACTTCATTTTAAGTGGCAGTTCTTGTGTACTATAACTAAACGGTAAGGTACTGAATGCAATGTAATGACTAATGTGGCAAATGCACTGCTGTGCAAATAAACTGTTATGAGTTTCACTTCATTTTAATTAGGCACTCAGTTCATATCCTTCCACACTTTGAATAGACCAAGCAAATAAAAACATGGCATAGTGCTTTGTATACAGTTTGTGTAATGCTCAGTATACAGCTTAGTTCCCCTGTATTTTTATGATAAGTGTATAAGCAGTCTGGTAATCATAGTACATTTATATTGATGATTTTCACTGGAAAAGAAAATTTATATTTTGTTGCTCAATAGAAATATCTATGAGAATGGAGCAGGTCACTAAATGACGGAACTCACACAAGACAGAGCAGCAGACACATCTTCCGTAAGTTGTATATAATCTGAAAACCATGAATTGTTAGTAGATAGTCTTGGTTGGTATTACCGTAATCTGCAGGCCATGAAGTGCCAAATTAACACTTGCAGACTTTCCACTCCTTTGCAGTACAGAGGTCCAGATCATGTGGAGTACAGACTCTTTTAAAAAGTGCATTTATGCTGCTTCTTCCAGTTGCCCACTACTTCAAACTGCACAGTGCTTCTGAGGTTACCACGTTTTTTCTGTACCAGGACACTTAGGTGATGGCAGTTTAGGCTTCACAGCCTTACCCGCAGCAAGACTCAGCTCCTTTTAGGCCAAAAGAAAAAATCTTGGAAGCAGAAGCAACAACTCTGAGTACAGAACTGACTTTTGCATAACACTGTATCACTTTATAAGCAATTCTGCCCCAGTATTTTAACTCAACCATAACTGCAGCCCCAGTCCTAGCTTGAAAGTACTGTGTACAACACTGCTATCTATATATGCCATTTGTGACAGTGGGACCTATCCTTTAGGCAGTGGATCAATATCACACTTCATTTTACACAGACTGTTACTTGTACATTCGATGGTCACAGCTTTTGGCCTGATCTGATCTCAAATGAACGGCTGAGAATGTGAGAGATGCGAAATAGGCTCCATGTACCATTACCAGATAAAGCATTTTCAATCAGGTTCATGCAGCTACAATACAGTATTTATATCTAGCATTCAGGGATTTTGAATGTCTATTGTGGGTGCACTACTTGAAAGCAAAGAACCATGAACAACATGACAAGCCTGAGAATCTGCATTAAGTCTAATGATGGTCCTTAGCAAAGTGGATGGGAGGTATTTGTAAGCAACCAGTTAACAAAATTATCGGGAGGAACAACCACTCATTTTGCTGCCTCTGTGAAGATAATCTGTAGAAAAATGGTAAGATACACATAGAAGTACATATATAAATGTTATATCTATGTTTATGCGCATATATACATAATATAGTGTCTATGTGTGTGTGTTTATTGATATCAATACACACACATATATATAGATGTATGTATGTCTGTACCTATCACATTTTTGATCTTTTGGGGTGTAACTTGTCATTGATCTTCATGTGACTATAAATATATATCCTCTCAATTTACCACATATATTTTACTTTCATTTTACTGCTGGAAACCCAGAGTTACACAGGTGATTCAATTAACCTCAATTTTGTCAAATCTCACTGAACCTGTGGGCTGAAACCATTGGTATCTATTTAAGCAAGTGCATTTTCCTTTTTGACTCTCTAGGTAAAAGAAGCAAGAACAGGCTGTGTGTCAGAGCTGGGAAGACCTTGGAAAGCATGGTAGGTGGAGATTTTTGTGAATGTCTTGTGTACAATAATTACTGAAGACTGGGAGATGTAAGGAACCTAGATGGAAGTCTTGAGAAAAGAGCTCAAGGAAGATACTTAAGGTCCAGGCATGATATAGAATAGACACAAACTGAGTAACCTGGCCACCTTTTCTTATGGACCACTGTGTTCTAAGCCATTGGTGTCAGGGAAATACTTAATCATTTATGCCCAAGAGGAGAGATTTTTTTTTCCAGTTGTGTTCAAGCTATCAAGATTACTGGAAGCTATAGAGAAGACCTGACTGAAAGGTTCATTACCTATTCCATGTAGAGCAAATGCTTTTTATCTATTTGCAGGGTTAGCATTATGTGCAGACAGTATTATGACATCTAAGTAATGTTAATAAATTTCTGTGTTCTTAATCTTAAAACATTTCAATTCAATTGACTAGTTCATTTTAAATGGGGTCACCACTGCATTTTTTCTGATGTGCAATGATTGGTAGATTTCCCTGTGGCAGTATTAAATCATAGTAGTGAAATAGAGTTCAAAATCCCCTGAAGTAAATGCGTAGTGTTATTTTGACCCTCTGAATGGGGTCAAAATAGAACAAATTACACTTGCAAATAACCTCTTCTCAAGCCTGAGGTGTAGATGTGTAAACTCCACAGATCAGGAAAAAAATGGTTCCCAGTGCTACTACAAGTCCAACGTACTTCATGAAGACCTAATATCAAAGAAACATTCTTCCAGGATGCTCTTGTTTATTTTATGCTTCTATCTTAACAACTTCCCCAAAATGGAGGGGGAGAGAAGAAATGGGAGCAGTTATCTTAGCCTGTTCTGCTGAAGGCTCTGTGAATGAGTTATGGCGATATCAGCAGCAACTTCTCTATTACCGTTGTCCTGCAACTTTACTATTGTAATCCCTAAAAGACTCCCAAGAGTTATTATTTTGATCCTTGTGGCAAAGAACTGTTGACACAGAAAACTCTTGTCTGCTTGATTTTTTTCTTCTTGCTTGCTGCAGGCTGTCGCAGCATAGGGCATGTTCTTTCTGTGAGATGAAGGGAGAGTGAGCTGGCTCCTTTAGCGTACAAGAGGGACCCTTTTATCGTAAGAACATCCTGGAAGACTTCTTCAAAGTTCATACAGGCCATGAGAACCTCCCACATTGCTAACAGTTTGAACAACTTGCACTTGAAACACTTCTTTAGGTATATTGTCTGTATTCCCAGGCCTGCAGGACTGGAGGTGTCTATCAACCTAGTGTTTTCTACTCTAAATACTTATCTTTGCTCCTGAGAAGCTAGGAATGGGATGCAAGGGTAAATGTATGCTTGGGTCAATACATTGTTGCTTTGTCACCTGGGGAAATCAGAAGTAGTGTGGAGTATTGTGCTAGTGTGAGTGCTTTAAAATTGGTTGCAAATTACATGCTATCTGGTCTGCCAATTACCTGTTAAGACTTAATGGTCTTAACCTGTTCTTAGCTCACTTGAGTAGATGACAGCTATTCAAGTCCTTCCCGAGGCTAATTAGGAAAGCATAATTATTGATGTCTTTTTACGTCATCCAAAATGTCAGCTGTTCACATCTTCCTCTGGTAATCTGGAGACTTGATTTACTATCTCAGTAAGATCAGCCCTAACACTTGATCTCCCACCTGTAAACACTTCCCCTTTGGGATTCTAGCCTCTTCACCCTCTGGATTTTGCTTTGGCTGCTGAAGATTACAGAAATGGGAATCAGGTGTAGGAATTAAAGGTCCAACAAGAAGTCAAGATTGCTTCTCACAGCATAGTGAAAAAAACTAATACATTGGTCAAAGCACATAAATATCCAAGAACTAGAGAACTTTGATCAGTCATCACAGGAGGGGGAAAAAAATGGGGGGGAAGCTGCTGCCTTCTTGGTCAATCCATCAGCCAGAATTCAAACTAATTAATCATCCTGAACCACGATGCTGTAAATCTCCTCGTCTCCTTAAGAATTCCTGTCTGTACCTGTGCTACGAGTTTTCAAGCACATCTTTATAAAGAACTTGTTTCTCAAAGCAGGGTGCTGTTGTGTTAATTGGCACTGATATGTGAATTGGCTGCTGATACTGTTGGATGGGTGTGGCTTGAGGATTTTGAGCCTGTTAATATAATTTCATAAGAATGAAATTTGAGAAACAAATTTGGTATTGTAACACTTCCATGGGCTTTTGGATATTTGTGTTGCTCAACATTAGCAAGGAACTTCTTTTGCTATTTAGTCCACGTAGTTTTCAGCTGATAAAGCCACAACAGAACCCTTTTATCACAGCAGGAAACTTCCCTCTCCCCTCAGATTTAGAGCAATAACAATTCTGTGGGGTAATAATTATTCTGGATGCACTGTACCATGTAAATTAATCTGTTGCTTTGGTAGTACTACTCCAGAAGCAATGCTGATGGTGTATGCTCAGAATGAGCAAATTAATTAGCCAAACTGTGAAATCAAATAAATCTCACAGCAGTGACCTCTGTGTCACTGAATAAAGAAAGACATTAAGTTGATGTGTAGTTGCTTTAGTTGAAGTAAAACCAGAACTTGAAAGGGCTAAATGTTCTCATTATTCTGTCTTAAAATAGACGTTCAGGCTGGCAATACATTGCTGGCAAGGGGAGATTGATATTTGATGTCCATTTAGCTTTTTTGTCTAGATCTGCTGAGAACAGACCTAAAAAGCAAGTGCCACAAAACAGAATGTTTAATTGGGAAGCTGCATCAATGATAAAATCAAAACCTATAGATTTCCTATTGATACCAGTTTGTGTTGCATAATCTCTACTGGACACGGGCTCACTGCAGCCATCATCTGATTTGACTTTGTGTAGCATTTGGTCTCAGCTGCTGAAGTTGAAAATACCCTTCAGTGCTGATGCCTTCATCTTGTCCTCTCTGGGGGTGATTTTCCAGAAGCTCTGAGGAGCATTTGTGGTTTTGGATAACAGCAGTACTCCATCATATCTTCTCTCTATGCTAAGCCAAAAAGTCTGATATTTGCAGCTTTTTACATAGCAAACAAAAAGGAATTTTATAATGATTTGCAGCATTAAGGTTATATAGCAGAGTATGTACTTGTGGGTGTTATCAGCCATGGTGTTCATGGGACAAATTTAGTGACGTTTTGAAAGTAATTAGATAACTCCATCTTGTGAGGCTTTCAACTGGCAGCTATCAGTTATTGTAAGAAATACTTCACATGTGAAGAAAAAATAATACTGTTTTTACTGAATTTATCCAGAAAAGATTAGTGATAGATGCTAAAAATTCATTAGGTTATTCTCCCAGAATTTGATGTTTGTCAATCAATAAGTGTGTAAGACATACTACTGGGGATGTACATAACAAGGGCAAGTTTTGTGTGAGTCAGTGGCAGGAAGAGGTCTGGGTAATCTAAACCGTATTAAGATTTTTCATCTGTAATCAGTAAAATGAGGATGAATATTTCATTCATCTATGGATGCGTTGGCTCTGTGGGGGTTAAAAACAAAAATCACTGCACAGACAGTAAAATATATATATATGTACCTAATGCTGATGCTTACAAAATGGAAGAAGGGAGTCTTTTGGATACACTTCATTTTGTAGTGATTAATAGTAACATACTAAGTATTTTAACAGTCCTGTGTCTTTCAGAAGTGAATGCCCCAGTACGTGCAGCTGCTGGTTCCTGCTGTGCCTCAGGTAGTGCCAGTGCCAGCTGTAATCCAGTGGAGGATTCAGATGAAATGCAAAGACAAAGACCAATAGTGAACCCAGTGGGAGATCAGCCCTCCATCCTCCATGTCCCATTAAGCTTGTAATACGGATTCTTTAAGGATGGAGGGCTTTTCTGTTAGAGGAACAATATTCCTTTTTAAGGAACTCAGTGATAATTTTCCTTCAGAGACTTAATTTACATTATGCTTTCAATAGAAAATAGCAAACCAACTTTCTTGTGAATGAAGCTTTCTTGGAATTTAACCCTCCTAAAGATGCCCTTTTCTCCAGTACCTCTGCTCTCACTCAGGCTTGCTCATGCTCAGGGCAGAGTCAGTTTTCATTGTAGGGTCAACTCCAGTTCTACCACAAGTTATTTTGATATCCTCCTGGGATATCCCTAGTAAGAACTGATACTCCTACAGTATTCCCAAGGATGATCTGCAGATTTTCGTAATACTTGTAAAGAATGTCAAAGGTAATCTCAAATTCCTGTGTAAAGAAGTTATGAGAACACATTCTCACTAAAGAGGAAGTGAATAATCCCATCCATTTATTGCTGATGCTGAGTAACCCATCTAAGCTCCTCTCATTCCACTTTACCTAACCTCCACTGAAATCAGGAGAAAGGCTCTTACCCTGTTGAACAGACCCTGATCATGTATGCTGCCTCTCCAGTTGAAGGAGAAAGTGATGGTAATTGTACAAATATCTCCCATAAAATAATTGCTTGATACTGCAGTGGTTTCCCATTCATGTTTACTTAATTCTTTAATTCCCATTACAAACCACTTCCCCAAATCTTAGTTTCAAATCTATCCAAAACACTCTTCAGAAGGTGGAATCTTTCAGAAAAAATCCTCTTACAAGCTTTACAGCTAATAAATTAAATTTCAGTATATTTGACTCAATTCTTCCTTTGACCATACTGATGTAAATTTATTGAACAATTTCTGATTTACATCAGTATAACCAAAGGGAAAACCAAATTCTTAAGGGTTCATCTGAAACTCAGGTTACAGGAGCAGGGTGGAGAATAGACTGATTGGGAACTTGTGTTGAAATTTTGATGTGGAGGAGGGTAAAAATCTGGAAAAAATCTTAAAACAATTTGCTAAATTTATTTTTTATTTCAGTTATACCATTAAATCATTTTAAAGTGATTAAAATTTTATTTGGAGTATTATGTTGATAAATTTTAGTCTTTCACAGTTTATGAATTATGGAATATTGTACATACCAATGCATTATTCAAAACAATATTTTAATATAAATGA